TGTCTTTTGACTCCTGTTGTGTATGACAACAGGTTAGGACATCTTTATTTCTTATGCTCTTTCCTTTTCCCTGATCTTAATTTACCTGAAGTTAACTACCTTTTTATTTTACCTTTTCTTTTTCATTTTATTATTATGTTTTTAGATTTATTTTTGTCTTTTGCATTTAATTTTATAGCATATTTACCATAGTTAATTAAAATTTACCATATATTCATATAAATTTAATTGGCTTTAATTTTTATTGCAAGTCATTTTGTATTTCATCTTTTCTATATTTGAATTTTTTGTTTTGAACAGTGGGATATATGTTTTGTGCTAGAGCTTTTTAATTCTTGCATGTCTGGAAATATCTCTTGCTTACATACATGAACAACCTCTTGGCTATAAGAGAATTGTTTTCTGAATTGATCCCGGTGTCTTTTAGTGTTACAGAGAGATATCCTGAGCCAGTGTAATTCTTTTTTACTCATAAAGGAATTGATTGTTTTTCTCTCTCCCTAAATGCTTAAAAGATATATTTGTTTTGACTTGAATTAAAAAAAAAAACTCACCTTTTCAGGATATATTAGAATGTAGGTCTTATCTTCATTCATTTTTCCCAGTGCTTGATAAGCTTTTAGAATCTGTAGACTCATAGCTTCAGTTTTTACCACTTCCTTTGTTATGACAGATATCATTTGTGGTTTCTGAATAACCTTGTTTAAAAATATTACTCCTTTATTTCTGCTCTCCTGTATGGTACCCAGCACTTTTTCTGTTTTTCAGTACACTGCTAAGTTGCCCAGTAGTCGTATGCCTCAACTAGTTTCCTTCTGTTTCCTGCTATTCTGGGTGTTGGGAGATGTGGTCTCTAAATGGTTGTAAAGGGAAAGGAGTTGTTAGAGGTAAGAAAAATGGGGGAGCACAGAGTTAGAGTCCTGAAGATAGTTACGAGAAAATTAGATGTTTCTTGTCAGAACTAGGCTCAATAGAGATGACAGAGTGTAAATAAACACCTTTCTCTGCTCTTTTTGATATCATCTGTGTTCTCTTTGATTGAGTGGACTGTTTCATATGCATCCAAGGGTGTTTTTCCATCCCTCCTGGTCAGGTAGACAGTATGGCTTTTATGTATCTTTAAGTTTTTATGCTGTTGTCAGTTTGCTTTTTCCCTGTGTATATCCATAAATATTTTAATTAGAACTTGACAGCTATGTCTGGTATAACTTATCTGCCAGTGTTAACCTCAGTGTGTTTATTGTGGTTTTTACTTTACTATATCCTGCAAAAATATTCCCAGCAACTTGTGTTACTTTTCCATGGCAGTCATGCTGCCATTCTCTTCATTCCTTGAAGTCTTGAGCCATAGTTTCTTGCCAACTCTGTTCACATGAGTTCTCGCAGGCCATGGTGATGTTTGTGGAGCTTTTCATATCATTAAAGGCCTTCTTCAGTTCCTCGGTGCCTTCTGATCATCACCTTTGTTTTGGTGACCATTTCCCTGACTGCTCCTTGAGCTTGTCACCTGTCTAATCTCTTGGTTTTTTACTGGCAAGTCCAGCATTATCACTTGCTTCTTTTAAGAACAATTATGGACCAAAACTGTATGAATTACTTTTATTTATGTTATACTAAAGAATAGCTGAGCAAAGACGCCAAAGCAGAGTAAATAACACAGGTTACACAATTGACCTTTCCTCTCATGTTACTTTTATTGTTGCTACTTAAGGCAGTGTAAGCCATAATTGATTTTTTGGCACATTCTGTTGTAAATGTCTATTGATATATGAAGATTATAGGCAGTAATAGTTATCAAGGATCCAATTCTCTAAGTGAGAATCCTTTATACCTTTTAGCCATCTATGTAATAGTTGTAATTATTTTATTATTTTTTCCAGTATAACTGAGGAAAGAAAGGATTCATAGATTACCTAACCTATTTAAATGTAATTTATAAAATTTTGTCACTTTCATAAAAATTTGGTAGAATAAGAAGTAGGAACTAAATGTTTGAAAAGCTCTTTACAAATTTAAATTTTTAAGACACTTCGTTCTAACTCGTCTTAGTCTTCTATTTTAGTAAGTATTATCCTCAGAGGTTGCATGTGGGCCAAATTAGGCTATGGTCCCTCTTTGTACAGGCCAGGAGCTAAAGATGGCTGTATTTTTCAAGGTTTGTTTGCGAAAAAAAAAAAAAAAGGAAGTAGAGTATGTGATAGAGGCCCTATGTGGCCCACAAAGACTAAAATACTTACTATGTGGTTCTTTTTAGAAACAGTTTGCTAGTCTCTGACCTAGTTTGAATATTCCTGTCTCATAGGCTAGTAGTAATATATAGTGGTTAGAGTATGTGGATCACAGTGTACCTGACATAAATCCTTATAGACACTGCCTATACACACATGTCATTTCTTAGTGCCTCATTTAATAATGGCATTGTATAAATGCGTAGACAAATACTTTGAATTTTTTAATTGAAATCTGCAAATTTGATGTCCACATTTAATTAGAGTTAAAACAATTTCAGTCAATCAATAGGCTGTCTTTCTATAACTCTGATTTTTCTTTGAATATAACTTTTATATACATACTCTTTTTGTTTCCCAAATACAGTTTTATGGTGTTCAACTGCTTCACATATTTAAGTTTTAATAGATTAGAAACAATAACAAACCTGTGATCATGTACCAAGTTGCTTATTGAGTTACACTATTTAAAAATGTTTTTAGAGAAAATAAAAGGTCAAGTGAACCAGACATTGGGTTATTTGGTTTAATTTTCTGGAAAATAGGATTGCCTTTATCAGATCCCAGTGTCTCTTGGTCCTCATGCTTGGCTGACAGCTTGACAGTGGCTCTGCTGTGGTGGAGATGGGGGGCAGGAAGCTGCTTTGTCAGCAGAAAAGGGCTGTAAACTGAGCTGAGGGGAGCCAGGCTTACCTCGTTTTGACCTGCTGATCAGTGATGGGTTTTGTCAGCAACAGAAATGTGACTGCATGATTTCCTTTAATGGTTTTGACTTAGAAAGTAACATTTGAAGCAGGGCTACTATAAGATGCAATGTCATATTGCCATTGAAGAACCTTATGCAATGCCCCCTTAATAAAATAGAATGTGTGCCACATGTTTTTTTGCAACAAGATTGTCAGAACATTACACCAGCATTTAAATGAATAGTGTGAGCAGTGTTTTCAGTTTAGCTTTTTTCTATTTGGGCATTTTTATCTCATTTCTTTAAAGATAGGGAAGTTATTTTCCATTTAATTTAACAAGTTCAGGTTAAAAGTTTAGGTTTTGATTTTATGTCACTAATCACCACATAATCCAAATTTGAAGCATTAAATAAAGAACTTTCTTTTCACTCGTGAATCAACCAAGACAAGAATATACTGGCTGATTTTTTTTTTTCCCCAAATGTTTTTCTTTTTCTTTCTTTGAATGTGTTTCTCTGATAGAGAAGCAGTCTGTTTATAAATTTCAAACAAAATTTGAAATTACTCTAAAAAAAGGTATTAAAAAAGGGCAGGACCAAAATTAGAAAGTAATTAAAAGAAGCAGAAAAGTAGATGTTATTATGCATTGAGAATATTTTTATAGTGCATTTGAGCACTGGATTTTACCCAGAATTTTCTAATCAGTGAGTCAAAGGAAACAAATAAAATTGTGATTGATTAAAGCAAAACATTTCTTTTTTCTTGCCTAATAAGCAGACCACATCCCCCTCTCCTCCCCCGCCCCCCCCCCAGAATAAATCTACCACTCATGACTGATGGGTTGATGCAGGACCTGTAAAATCCTTTTAAGAAGAGTTTGACATTGTCTGAATGTTGGAGAATAGCTACTATCAAGAGTGATGTTACAGGCTGTGAAGCCCGTGGAGTTACACATCTTATATTTGAAATTTTGCTAAAGGAAGTTATGTGAAAGAATAAAATCCTGGGTATTTAGCAGTTATTATTTATTTTGGAGAGAGGTCTCATTTATTTGCAACTTTTTCATTCTATAGATGTGAGGTTAAGTTGCTTGCCTATGCAATACAGGCAATATGGGTTGAAGTTTTTTGTTCTGGGATTAGACAGCATGAGTTCAAATTTGGGGTTTGGCTTTGTGACATTGATCAACTTATTTAATTTCCCTGAGCAATGGATTTCTCCTCTGTGAAATAGAAATAATATTAGAACATACATCATTGACTTCTTTCCAGATGAGCAATATGCATTAGAAATTTATCATAGTGATTAATATATGATCATGGCTCAATTAATGTTTGTTTTGCTAGTTTTATTATGTCAGAAGTTTGAATTTGAAATTATATTTGGTCATTTCATTTTGAAAATTTTCTTAGTGCTTCACCTAGGTAAGCCTGATTTGCTCTGTTTAAAACCTACCCTACAGTAGGTAAAACAATTTTTAAATATAAATTTTTAAGTGATTTTTTAATGTTTATCAGAACCATGCAGACATATCAATAATAGCAAAAATACTCCTATATCATTTGTATATTCACAAATTGATATATTGGTAGATTTTACCGGATAGTTCTTGAGAAATTCCAGGGAAATAATAATAGAAATGAAGAAAACATGAATAATATGTATTTTGCCACGTTATATCCAAGGCTGAAATGAAATATTTTGAGGTTGGTATACTTCAAATACTAGTATTTCTATTTTGCAGATGGTGAAACTGAGAAATAAAAATGACTTTCCTATGGCCAATATCAAAGATATTAGTTACTTAAGTCTCACTTTTCTTTTTTAATTTAACTGTTTTTACCACTCAACCTTGATGATCAGATAATTGAGTATATGTATTATTGTACTATTTTAATTGTATTAAACTATGAGTAACATAGACTGGTGTCTGCTGGTTACTTTGCAGAGTTTTTGCATGTTTGTGCTTCTTTCCAGCAGTGAAAATAATATGACCATTTTTTAAAGTTGTTTAAAAATGTTATTTTGATGTAATGTCTTCCCACCCACTGAAATAGCCCACACTTTAACTAGATGTTTTTTCTAGCTATCCATCAAAAACTAGAAGCGGATGGAACGGAAAAAGTAGAAGGATCCATGACGCAAAAACTGGAGAATGTTCTGAACAGTAAGTTTTGTCCTACTACCCAAAACTATTTATGGACTTTATAACAAGCTTTAATATAGTTCTTGGACCTGGCTTCACAGAACAGGCGGTGAGTTGCATTTTAATATTTATTTCTAAATAGTAATGATTTAATACATATAAAGGAATAAAAACATGGAAAATGAACGTTCTGTTTTGTTTGCAATTTATTTATAAGAATTCATAATTTGAAAATAAGCCAGTATGCTTCCAAGAAATGAAACTTGCTACCATAAAAGAGACCAGTATATAAATAACATTATCAAAGAGAGATAAGTGCTGAAGCAATAGCCAGGATTGCCATTGACCAGAACCCTGAAACACATCTTCATATATCTTAACAGTGTTACAGCAAATAATACCAGCTCCTAGAATGACAAACACTTACATGTCATTGATTTATCTATACCATCACTTTTTCCAAAGTGAATTTAAGGCAGCTTCATATTTAAGAGTGTTTCTAACTCTGAGACATTTTGTAAAAGTTGTGTGCCAAAAGAACCTGATATATACAAAGTTTTGGGTTCCACCCACTTCCCTTATATCTCCTCCTCCCCCCCCCCCC